AAATACTGTCAAATCTGAAGTGATCTTGGCTTCTTTTTAGCTATCTTCTCCACAGTTAACACTAATAATAATTCTCTGTTATTATAAATGGTTGTCAATTAACAGGGAGGGAACATTTGATACTTCAGCATATTCCCAGCCATTGGTTTTATTACAGTATTTAATGTTTATGATGCAGAAGTTGAATTTTCCCCAAATCTTGTGATAAAACCATCCCAGTTCATGACTTTGTAAGTGTCTAATTAATGGTGCAAAGAAAATGTTTAAGAGCAGATGTTTATGACTTCCATGAATTTACAAACTCAGGTCTTTTGCAGCCTTCTTTCCATCAGCGAGTTGCAGACATCAGCAAAGTCTAAATACAGCTCCCAGGACCAGCATGATACAGTGTGAGAGCAGCTAAGAGGACCTGGTAGAACCATGTGAGAGAGGCTGTGCAGTCACCCTTGATTTCAAACCCAGCTGCACCCACCCACCCATCCATCCATCCGTCAGCAACAACGTGACACCAGATGTTCCGCACATCAGCACAGCAAATAAAAGCAAGCGAGCTCACAGATCTCACCAGCTTCTGACCTCCAAACAGTGTGTAAGAGGAAGCCTGTTCTTCATTACAAGTGGGAGTAAAAGCAGGTACCATCTTCAAAATCCTACTTCTTTCACTGGCCCCTTTCCTGCTGGTCTCTGAATTATTTCAGATACTGAAAATAAGCACTTGCACTCTTAACTGAGTTGTCTACATACAGGAGTGTTCTATTGTACAACTGGTTCACTTGGCAAAGTGTCTGGAAATGGTATTCTGTTGTCTTCCTTGCCCCAGTACTGCACTTAGCAGGAATGCATACATATGAATCCTTTCTCCACCTTTTTAAACTTTAATTTTACACAGTTGACAGGATCTTGGCTGAAGCTTTTGTCTTTGGCATGAGGGAATAGCTGGGGCTGACTTCATTGTTGAAGCAAACACACAACAAATCAACACTCTGAGTCTAGGGTAGAAAAATGGTGTCAATGTAAGTACATCCACTTATTCCACAGTCATATCTGGCACTCAGCTAATGAGTCTGGACAGTGGAAATAACCTTGAAATGCAGTATACACGCAGCTGAAACATGATTTACTGACAGTTCACCACCATGTGGCAAGTCCTTTGCTAGGGCTTACATTTTCAAAATTAAATGTGTGCACATAAACTTACTAAACTGTCATTAAACTGATGCAAAGGGGGTTCAGAGGAGATGTCATAGAGCTTTTGAAAGACAAAAACCCCATACAAAACTGATGGCTTGACTGCTTTTAAATTCAGCTATTTCCACTGCAGCAGCAAAGTAAAATTATTCTATTTGAGAGATTTTATCTTCTTTTTAGTCATCAAGATCCTTCTTTACTGGAGAAATAATTGTGTGTTTCTGCTTCTTTTTCTTAACCAGAACTGCATTAAAAAAAGATTAATATGCTGTTAAGTGGAGTCAATGAACTTCTGAGTAGCAGATGATTTTACTATGCATGTGAGGAGCTTTTACTTAAATACATTCATCTCTCATTCCAGACGTGGCTACTTAGTGGTGGAATTTATCACGATAGGTGATCTAAATGTGATTCCATGCTGCAAAGGAAATAGAACAGATGAATTGGACCCAAAACTCCCTAAAAGAAATAGGTAGTGTGCCAAAAGAAAACCATCAGGAAACCCCAGAATGTTATCTGGATGCATAAAACATCCATCAGAAATACCTGTTTTCTTTGTGAGCCATCTGAACAGATAATGAAAGTGCAATTACATGCAGGGATTCAAAACTGCTTGTATCTGTGTATTTGATGTCATCTCTTCAAATGTCATCTGCCAAGGGGCTGCTGAAATGTGGTTGTCTCAGCAGGATGCTCTGGGAACTGGGAAATCTTTTTCACTGCTGCAGAAAACTGACAGGGGGAACAAAACCTCTGTGCTATGAAAAGCTTTTCCATGATGATGGGACACACACATCCTCTTCTCCTGGCTGCAGGTTCCCCCAGTGTCTGTCCATTGGAGCCAGCAGGAACACAGCAAAGATACCAGAGAATAATATCAACACAGACCTGGGCTGCTAGTAGGTGAAAAAGAATTTCAAAGAAAGGAAAATGATGTAGAATATCAATTAGCTGTGTAATTAAAACTGCAATGAGAGGAACATCTATTTCCTAGCATAGCTGAATTTTGGAAACTAGTTCTTCTTTTCCTCAGTTTTTGCATGGGAAGAGAATAAATTATGCTGGATCTCTCTTGCATTATGATTTCTTGAGAGAATAAAGATTAGAAAGTGACTGGACAAGTGAGCAACATTCAGAAATGGTATGTCAGTACTTTAGTAATAAAATTTGCAGAACTCCTCCAAATCGGCAAATGCTGTACCACAGAGCTACCAGGGAACTGGGCCATCAGCTTGGCAACCTGTTCAGTGAACAGTCAGAATTCACAGAAGAGCAGCGCTAAGTGTCAAGAATTATTAGTTTTGGAGAGAGTAAGAAATACAAAGTACAATCTGATTTCTTGCAGTGAAAGAGGTAAGAATATTGCTGCAACTTCAAGAGCTGGCAAAGCCACAGAAGGACACATTTTAACACCTATTTGCAAGCGTTTGTGCCATAAAATCTATTCCTTTGTGAAAATGGAAAGGATTTCCTCTGATATTGTGTACTTCTCTTCCTTCTGCACTGCAAAGGTCATTGGCATGGCAACAAAATCTTCATTTCTCAAGAGTCCATCTGCTGCTGGCACACCCGCCTCAACTGAGCTCACACCATTCCTTTTTGATGACATCCTACTTGGCTGTTGACTGTCTGTCGTCACAGGCACACAATCCCAATTTCAGGTGAAGAGTTAGCAGCAGCAGATGCACTTCTGAGCAACAAAGACTATTCCCTGAGATCAGGAGGAAAGAAATACACGAGAGAAATCCTGCCAGGCAATGATTTCTTTTACTGTATCTTACATTCCATGATTTCTCTTAAACATCAGCAGCTGATGAAAAGAATTGCTGTCCTGTAATCTGAATCTTGTAACAATTCACACACTGAAATAGCCTATACATTAACTCTCACATGTTTATATTTTTGACAGGATCAACCTCTTAAATATTGATTAAGATTCAGCAACTGTACACCATTCCTATTTGAAATACTGCTAAATGCAATCATGCTAAACACTATCATGCCATCAACCATGTAAGTCTCTTCAATATTTTTCTAACAAGTAGTATTAATCATCTGGTTTAATCAGTAACCCATCATGAATCAACTTTCACAGTAAATTGGAGACTGAAGGCAAATACTCATTCTTTTATTTATGAGACACTCGAATAGGTGTAATTCCAGAATGAAAAATGACCCTGAGATCTGTTCTCTATAACATGGGCAGCCACAATAATTACACCAGCTTTGATGGCAATATACACACCGTGTTGGACCTCAGTGACAGACAACTGTCAGCTGAAGTACAGCATCCTCTATGGGAGGAAAAGGAGAAAACAAATTTCAGGAGAATCTCAGGTTTGTTGAAGTCACATTGTCAGAAATACCAACTGTCTGTGCCCTTTGCTTGCCTTGAACTGTTATCTTGTGTAGGTGTCACACAACTACATCATTCAGGATGTCGAAATGATGGTCTGTGTTGAGACACTGCCACACAGTGCTGGATCACCACCTCGTCATGAACCTTGGCAAGACTACATCAGCCTCAGTGGGAAAAGGTAATGGCAGAGTCTGCCAGATTTGGACAGCTTGAGCATGGGAACAGCTAAGGGGCATTTCACTGGTCCTTATTAAGGGTATTTTGCTTACTGGGCATTGCATTTTTAAAGTGTAACCTGTGGAGATGAGGAGACTAAGTTGAGACTGGAAGAAGTTTAACGACACAATAGGATGCCCATCCTGGCTCAGGAAACCTCTGTTTTGATTTTGCTTGGATCTCGTCTGGGGTGGGTGGGTGGGGGGTCTGGTCTCCTGTAGTCATCCTCATGTGATTTTAAATACTTTTTAAACAGAGGAAGGATTTTAAACAATCCTTCTTAAACCTAGGAGTGGACAGACAGAGTCCAGGCTGCCCTAGGCCTCGGCATTGCCACAGGATATCTGCAGTTATCACATACTGACCAAGCTGTTCATCGTTTTAGAGAGTAGAGCAGCACTAAGAGACAGCTGCCAAGAACCCCTAACATCCTGCTCACCTTCAGCAGCTCTTGTTCCACCTCATCACTGACCAGGTCCGGGGGTTGCCTCCTCTCCCGACACCGCAGGTTATCAGTGGCAATGGCATAGGGCACCGCGGTGGCATCGAGCGCCCTTTCCAGCCGCAGCTTCTGGGCTGCCAGGAGGCCTGTCTCGGCACCCAGGTCCTCAATCTGCCTCTGGAGCTCAGACTTCCAGAAGTGTACGTCCTGCAGGCGCTGGCCCAGGGCGGCTGTGGAGTTCTGCTGGGCGCGCTGAGCAGTGGCAGCGGCACGGGCACACAGCTCCTTGGACTCGGCCCGGTTGCGCTCGCCCCGCTCGCAGCCGGTGAAGGCCTCGCTGTACAGATCAGAGTGGCGCTGGTGCCACTCGTGGGTCAGGTACTTGGCAGTACGGAAACCGGACGCGGTCAGGCGGCTGGAGGAGTGGGGCCCCGTCTTCAGCGCCACCTCACACACCTTCCTGGGTAGCTCGGCGGCGGGCACAGCCTGCGGCGCCGGCTCCTCGGCCAGCAGCGCCTCGGCCTGCGCCATGGCACCGCCGCCTCCCGCAGGGCCAGGCCCCGCGTCCCGCCGTCGCCGGGGCAACGGCGGCAGCCAATGAGGAGGCGGGTTCCTCCCGCTGCGAAGGGAAACCCGAGGCGGCAGCGGGGAACAGCCCGCCCCCCCCCGGTCCACCAATCAGAGCGCGGATCCGCCCCGAGGGCGCGCCTCATAGGGGGACGCCGGGTGTCCAATCGGGAGGCAGCGGGGCGCGGTGGGGGTACTGGGGGTGTCATGGCGGCGTGATGGTGGGCTCTGGGGCGGGAGGTTTCCCCGTCGCAGGCCTTGGAGCGTGTCGCAGTGTTCGTAATCCGCGTGTGCGGCCGTGTTGGTGAGAACAAAGGTACGCTGAAGTCTCCACGTTGCGTTCTGGCTCTCCTTTGTACTAAGGAACTTTTCATTTCCAGCCGCCGCGTGAGCGCAGTAACGCTTTATGGTGTTGGCTTTGGAAATGGAAGAGAGTCCTGACAGGATTTCAGCCAGGTTCCTGCCCAGCAAACTCTGGAGGCGAGGAGGAGGTGCTGCACACCCCTCTGGGATGGCTCCTGAGTGGGGAGCAAGGCTTGCGGGGGGTCTGCGGCATCCCCTGGGCTTAGGGCCTTCAGTTTAATCCATTTTCGCACCTCCTTCCATTTTTATACCAAAATGTTCACCCTTAAGGCAATTTGAGTGACTGTGGCCTTGTCATAGGTCAGGCACATGTGGAATTCAGTTGCTGTGGCATCCCCTGGTGAATTTTCACGTGGGAAATGTAGCTTGTGCTTGAATTGCATTAAGTCTTGGGGGATGCCATCAATGAGCAGCAATAAAGGAAATTAAAGGAAGGGTTCGAGGCAGAGGCGTCTCCAGAGCTCTTGGAGGAAGGAGGGAAGGTGTTGAACAGCACGGTGACAATAGGGGGCACTCTCGTCCTTGCACTGCGACAGAAACTCTTCAATGTCGTTTCATTGTAGAAAATGGGAAGAAAAAGCCACGTGCGCTGGAGCTTGCTCGGTGTCATCCCGGCTGATCGGCTCCTGGAGGAGAGCAGTATCTGAGCTGCATCGAGGTGAACACAGCAGGTAGCACAACCACACGACGGCATGGAGAAATGACTCCCTGCCTGCTGAGAGATGCTGTTTGCACCACACAAACATATGCAGGGGACACTTTGCTTTATTAGAGTTTGCTCTAAATCCACAGTCAGTCAATGGTCAATTTTCCAGTGGGGTCTTGCACTCTTTAGAAAGATCAAGTGCTTGTCCCTGATGGAGAGCTTGCTTTGGAAAGATGCACTGTGCATGGGCTGCAAGCTGCTGCCCACCAACCCTGTGCTGCAGCTGCCAGCACACGTCCAGCAAAGGCTCTTTTCCGTAGGGACGGTGTTGAAAAAGGAGATTCAATCCCAGCAGAGATAAGAAATCCTTCACCTTCCCTTTTGCAAATATTATAATTGGCCCTCCACTTAAATAGGAGCAGTAGATGATACTCTTTGCATTGCTGAAGTCTCAGAAATGACACGCTTTGCTTTCCCTTCACACTTCATTTCTTTCCTTTTTCTTGCATTTTCCCACTAACTGTAGCTGTCCTGTCTGTTCCTTTCCTTATGTTACCCCCAGCCTGTACTTTTCTTTCTCTTTCCTCTGCTTGTGGGCTTCTCTGCATGGTGATCTATGCAAATTTTGCAGTTTTAAAGTACAGTAAGGAAAAACCCTGCTGAGCTATTCAGAGTGAAAGTCCTTGGTATGGAAAATACATTTTTTCAAAATAAGGGCAGCAATGATTTGCTATGAAGCAGCATTTTTCTCTGAAGGTTTCAGAAGAGCTTTTATTAGTGGCATCTTATCACAGCCCATTCAGTGTCACCCAGGCAGTTCTGAAGGTGGGTCAGTGGCTAAGGCTGCAAACTTACCTGAGTTCTAGGCCCTAAATGTGACTGGTAAATTATCATCTTTTCCAACAGGGAAACACTGCACAAAAACCATGTAAAGTCTTTCTTATCTGGTACAAGGATTACTTCAGAGAGCAGTTTTGGGGTCCCAACTGGTCAATACTTCCAAGGACCAGACAGATGTTTTCATCAGGCTATGTTTTGTTTGGGTTTTTTTGTGTCAGTCTAAGCATGCTTTCAAGTGTTCACAGACACATTGTGTCCTAACAGGCTGCATATCACATTCTTGCAGGAAATAAAAGCAAAACCTACTGGCACCTGCTAGATTCAGGAGTTCCCTTCATTATCCAGGGCAGACCCAGGGCCCCTGTGTTTCAAAGCCATTCTGCCAGTTGAGTGATTTAATATGCCTCTGTAACATATAAATTATTAACAGCTATTCAAAATGTTCCCAGAGCACAAGATGACAAAACATACTGGAAGAACAGAACAGATTTTTTTTCTAGCTCAGATCTTTTGACATGCAGTAGATTAAGATTAATCTTGGCTAGAATCCTTTTTACAGGAAACTGGTTCCCCTTCTTACAGCAAATGCTCCTATTTATGTCAGGTGCCTTGTGAGCTCTTTGGCTTGCTGTTGTTGCTGCTTCATTTTGTTTCCTTACTTCTTGTTTGATTGTTTTTAAATTAGTGTAAGTGGCTAAAGCAATGTTGTCACCTGGATCCAATCTCCTTGTTGCAGCTAAATCATTCCATGCTGCTGTCTGCAGGACAGGCTGCAAACTGCTCAGTGGAGTAGTACAGGTCTTGTACATGGAGAAGGGAAAGGTTTGCTCTCACACCCCAGCAGCTGGGATGTTTGTGTCTTGTCCATAGCACAGAAGTACTGGAAACCCTTTCTTTAAAGAAGGTGTGGGTCCTTTGATGTATTCCTTCTCCCCATAAAGGCAATCAAAAGCTTGAAAATGTGACCCGCTTCTATCCAAATATCCCTCTAAGCATAGGCCAATGCATGATGGAGTGTTCTGAAAATGTGCTTTTCAAGCTGTGCTGATGCTTTGGGGGTTGCCTATGGGGACCTGCTGAAGGGAGGCAACCAACGCCAGCTTACTTTGTTGTTCTAAGCTGAACAAAATCTCAGCACAGCACGGCTCTATCATGGCTGTTTTCTTGGAATTAATGAACATAATGACTAATTAAATACTGTCCCATCAGCAGAGAAATCAGAAACGAGATCAACAAAACCACCTGACATAGATTTTCTTGGAAGAAAGGGCTTTGTTCTTGTGTTTAATGTAGGGAAGCCTTGTTAAGAAGGGAAAGCACATCGTAAACCTTCTATAGTTGGCCAGGTATAAAGAGATATATTGCAAACAGGTCTCTGACTGATCACCAAGCATAAATATAATTTACTCTTCTTCCCCTCCCCACTCTCTCTCCCATTTTCCACAGAGAAAAATATCTGGATGTGCTACTGTCAGGGAGATGTGGTGCCTCTGCATCAAAAGCAGTGCAGTCACTTTTCATATCTCTCTTGTAAAGTGCCAAAAGATGTTTCCTCTCTCTCAGCTAACAGAGTAGGGTGGGCAAAGAGAGCTGAACCACTTTCCTGGGCTGGCTGCTAGTCTTTGAAGTGCTCCCTGCTAACAAATAACCAGTCATGCACAAAGGCAAGCAATCAGTCACACAGTCAGGAAATACCATCTAGCGTTTAACCATCATTCAGCATTTTGCAATAAGGGGAAAAAAAACATAGCTGAAATGGAGTGATAGTACATTAAAGTTTCTGTTGTACATTAGAGGGCCATTGGTCTGAGCTGCCCATTCTCAGGCCAGACTTGCTTGCAAAATTGGTCTCCCATTTTTGTTCACAAAGGACATTGTCATGACGAATTGACCGTGAGGCAGCCAGGGGTTGCTTGCACTGCATTTCAGATCCCAGACCCCAGTCCTGCAGTTTGGACTACTCCCATCACTTAAAGATTCACACCAACAACCCCAAGTGGTGCAGTGTTTGACATGGAAGAACCCCTGCAGCCAAGGATCCTGATTTGCTTTTCTTGCCTCTATGAATCAGGCAGATACTCACAAAATTTATGTCATTTTTGTCATATTTGCTGCTGTTTGAGCGATTCAGTTTCTTGAGTCATTTAATAGCCTTTGAGAGGGTCTGCCTTTCTGAAATGCAGCTTCTAACCCAGACTCTGACTAAGATGAGCTTGCTAGCAAAAGCTGGCCGGGTCTGACCCATTTCAGGCCCAGAAACTAGATGCAGGACTCAGATCTCATAGCTTTCATATCCTCTCTTGGCTCATGTGCATGCAACACCTGATCTCCATGTCCCCAGTGACCAGGACAGGAAATCTTGGGCTTAAACTGGGTATTGACAAGAAGAGCTGTGTCATCCCCAGCAAGAAGGGCTGGGGCAGAGAGGGAGGATGAGAGGTGAACCCTGGCTTACCCAAGCCATGTCGCATTGCAGAGAAAAGCCTATGAATGTCATGGGCTGGGAGTGCTGCTCCAGAAATGTCCTCTGCTTGAAACAGAAGGCCACATTCTTCTCATGGCAACCCACTTGTCAGAAGTTGGCTCAGTTTTACTCTTAGTGGAACATTGATTTTATTTATTTAATGTAGCATCATTATACTGTTTCTCTGCTGGGTGCATACCCTGGTGATGAGTACCTTAGCAGGGTGATAGATAAAAAACACAGTCCATTCAGCTAGATGATAGATGGGGAGGAAATGTGGCGTATTAGTTCAGAGGAGACAAAATACAGTCAATTATTTTACATAAGGCAGTGTCTGGTACTCCCAGTCCCTGCCTGAGAGCAACAGAACACATCAATAAAAACATTGAAGAGTTCAGAAGTGAGATTTTTGTTTTAATACTGACATATGGGCAAAGTGTTACATTTCAGCTGAAGAAATAAACATAAGCTAGCCTCAGGATCTCTACTGTTCAGCAAAAGACTAAGACCAAAGGTTATCTCAGAACATAGGTTTTGCCTTTGCACTGTCTCATATCACTGAGATTAGAAATGTCTCCACTTTTGAATCTCATCACCCCTTCCTAAAATTCAATAGATTCAGATAACATGAATTATTTGTAGCAGCAGTAGCATTTCTTTTTAAAAAGTAGCTATTTCGCAGACAAAACAAAGCAGAAATTGAGCTGTTCCAGCAGGGATGAAAACACCATTTAAAGCTTCACTTCCTTGCCTTGGATCTCGGAGGCAGACTGTGTTTGATTAGATCCTTCCAGCGGGTGAGATCAGGTTGAGTGACAGCTCTCTGTGCCAGATCCACGCTGTGTTTATTTGCATTTTCCACCAGCTCTGAGAGTTTGCACTTTATCCTTCCTGAAATCCATCTAGATGGGGAAGCATTAGAGAAATCATTTTAATTATAGTGCAGGGACTGAAGCTTTTCAGAGGTTCATTGTCTTTGTACCAACAGGTTTGATTAAAACCAGACATGGGTAAAGAGACCTAAGTCAGATGGAGAGCAGTGAGTACTGGGCAAAAGGGAGAGGGACAGCAAGTAGAGACCTCTGCAACCCCCTCATGTGTCCGTCTTCCTAGTGGTGGTAAGCCAGGACTGTGCAACAGTGAGAAAAGTGAGAACATTCCTGCTTAGAGCACAGCAGGGATGTCAAGCTGATAATGCACATCGTAGTGGCACTTTGGAGGTTGAGAATAATTAGCTAAAATCCAGGCTCCTCTCCTCTCCAGCCAGCGTTGGTACAAAGATGGGCTGTGGTAGGACTTGTTTTGATGAGGAGCTGCCTGCTGTGTGCTGCCAGGCAGAAGGACTGAAAGCAGGAGCTGATGAGTGCCTGGTCAGGGTCTGGCTTGGCAACGCAAGCACTGAGCTGCTGAAACAAGCCCGATACTGGCCTTGCCCAGTACTGCCAGGCCCCTTCCTGCTGCTGGCAGCTCCTGTGTAGGCACAGGCAGAGATAGCACTTGCGTTGTTTGAGAAGAGAAAGCAGTGTGGTTGTTCAGACCTTAGATGGAATAAACTGGTTTAGTTCCAGTGGGTAAATTAAATTACGCTGACATTTACCAGCAAAAATCTCCATCTCATGCTTATAGCAAGACAGGATATTCTCTCTTTAAAACCTTCTCAGCTTTTGACTTTCAAATTCCACATAACTGTTTTCTTTTGATACACTTT